CTAGTTTTGATTTGGGCATTCTCAGGTCTCTGGTCGTAAGATGGACATTCGAGAGGCTGCAAAGTGGAACGGGAATCCCCTGAGTAAAAATTGCTTGGCAAACTGAGAAGGGTAGTATACCTTAGATATACACTTATAAGCTCGAGGGTTTAAAGTACCAATGAATAGCTCCCTTAGTAACAAAATAGAAGCCTACATATCTTTGCGTAGTGGGGTGGAGCACTCTTTATCAGCCAAGAATGTTTGCAGCCAAGCAGGTCCTTTGTTGGCATCAAAGGGGCAAAAAAAGGTGGCAGATGGAGAAATAGGAAGTTGATGGAAAAAGGTGAGGTAATAGGCAAAGAAAGCAGGATAAAGAACAATTCTCGCATATTTCTCCCCATAAGTGCTAGGATCCTGAACAAGGAATTTTAAGCATTTGGGATGCAAATCAGTAAAGTAAGCAAAGAGCCAGAGTTGGAGCACCCAAAGGGGACCTCCTTGGTTGATATCAAGCGATTTTTCACAAAATTAGGAGCAGACTCTATACACATGGCCTAAGAGATATGGGGCCAAGGCTATGCGTTTCTTCAAAACAAGGGCCTTCGCAAGTGAGGCAAACTCAGGCATAATCCGCTGAGATGATGTACAAAAAAGAAATTTACACAACCAGTATAAAATAAAGGAAAAGAGTTCTCTATCTCTCACGGGGCCTTCCTTTTTGTTTTTAACCTTTAGAAAATCACTGTAGGAGGAATTTAAAGGTGGAAGGGAAAACTTAACAGAAAGGTCTGAGTAGCTGGGTGTAAAAGAAGTACCAAGGAGTGAAAGCCCTAGGAGATGGTAGATATCAAGAACGGTGGGGGCCATAATGCCACACCGAAATTGAAAAAAATTAAAAGCCATGTTCCAAAAGCAAAGAGCAGTAGGAATCAAAAAAGAGTCTTCAGGAATGATAAGCCTGGAAAGACAAAGGGCGTCGAGAATACAGAGCTCTTGCAGGTCATCTTCTCTTGCAGGCACAACTCTGTCATACCATTCCTCCCACTCAGCTCTCAACGTTGGCCAACAACGGTGAGGACGGGTCATTCTCTAATTTCCTCAGTCGAGCCCCCCTTCATAGAGAAGAAAGTGGTCCTCCAAGCGAGGGTATAAAGCTGGAAGTTGAGCGGGAGCTTCTCGAAAGATGGGACCTAGGACATATTCTTGTTTATTGCTATGGCGAGGAACAAAGAGGCGTCCGTCTATGGCACTTGACCCATCAACTGTAAGTTTTGGCAATCTCTTCCTCAATACATATCTTCAAAGCTATTGTTGGGCTTATACGATCGCCAGTTGGTACTTTTAGAGAAGAAGAATCCATTGGTGGTAAGTAGCAAGGAAGAGAGGGTTAATAGAGGGGAAGGGTTTGTGTGTTGAGCAAACGAGTGATTTCAGAATACGAAATAAAAGGGTTCTAAAAACTTTTGTGTCTGGAAAATATATCGTGTAATTCGTAGAGAAGTACTAAAAGTACAGATACGAATAGTTTCCTTCAATATTGATACTTTTGGAGGGAAAAACACATCCCAAATGTTGCTGTCAGCTTCGAAATAAAATATTTGGCTTTGAAGCTAGTTTTTAGCGCCATAATGAAATGACAAACGGCTTCGAATGTCGAAAGCCTGCTTCAAAGCACATTCCACACCTAAAGATGTAAAAATGTACAAGTATTTGTTTACTTCGAAGGGGTTTAAAGACCTGTTTTAGGTTTCTTAGTGAGAGTAGTATCCTTCGAAGCAAAACTTGAGATCCCTTATGGATAGGAATTGTTGTTCGAAGTATCAAAACCAATAGTTAGTTTGATAGTATACATAAGAGATTGTTTCTCAGATTAAAACAATGCAGCCCTTGAGATGAGCTTCCATATTTTTGAAAGTATGAACTGTTGTTCGAAGCAAAAACGGTCAATTTAAAACTGATTGATCGTACTAACCATGACCATATGTTGGATATGATTAAAACAAGCTTTAAGGGGCAAGATTATTAAATTCGAAGCATTGATTCTAAATAGAAATCAGCAAAAATTGTCAACTGTATTCCATAAATTGGAAAAGTTCATGTTGGTTTTCCAGTGTTTCATTTAAGACAATTGAATCCAGATTCGAAGGATAAGATTGTTGAGTTCGAAGCCCTAAATTTGCTTGTAAAGACAAACGGAGATAAGATCAAACAATGCCAAATAAAGGAAAAAGTCTTAATTGTATTGAAAACAAAAGCAATTACATCGAAGGGCCCTCTTTGGGTACAAATTCGAGTTCAAAAAAGTAAGGAATAGAATAAATAACAAGATCATGGAATTTGGTCCAGCTATGGTCAATAAATTTCTATTTTTTTATTATTTATTCTATCCTCTATTTTCTCCAAGCTTGGCTGCTGAAGTTGATGTGCTCTCACTTGATAAAAGAGCTCTTCAGCCTTTATTTCGAACGCTGTTTCTCTTAACCCTTGTTCCAGCTCATCCATATCCAAGTCATCCCAGTACGTAGAGTCTTTATTCTTGAAGTCATTATATTCTTCGATGAGGATCTCTGCTTCGTATTGGGCATGAACTCGAAGGGATGAAAGTTGGTCCAAAGATTGGGTGATGGCCACAGAAGTCCAGTGCCAATGGAGAAGCAACGGGAGTTGGTCCAAAAACATTTGAAGTTCTGCTTGGGTAATGGGGTTGAGAACGTGACTCCGAGTCATAATATCACAAGCCTATCGAAAGTTCTTGAGAGGAACATCGTCTTCAAGAACATTGAAAGGCAAGTGAGAAAAGGCCACAAGATGAAGTTGGGCTTGCTTCCGCTGAGCTGGAATAGGGGAAGGTGGAGGCTTGTAAAGAGGAAAAACCTTGTCCTCAGAGAGGGCAAGCCTCGGTCTCTCTGTCCAGCAAGGATTTTGCGGAAGAGGAGGTATAGGGGCTTCCATCTCGAAAGTAGGAGGAAACTGAGGGGCATTAACATAATCAAGCCAGTCAGAAAGGCAAAGCTTCACCTTCTGGGCTAAGAACGATGGGTTATACCCTTGTACCTCTTATGGGCGTTGGGTAGCTTGTACTATCTTTGTAGATATGGAGGATGTGTACCATGCTACGAGCAGATTGTCCTCTAAACTGCGTCGACGGTCGATGAACACGTAAGGATAAACCACCGAACTTCGAGCATCAGAAGGGAATTTTAGAGGATCAGTGAACTCGACAAAGTGATGATTAACTCGCTCCCTCAATTCACATGCCTCAGGTTTCGACCAGCTTCTCCAACCAGAAGCCCTAGAAGAAAAAGAAGCCACGGCCTCATCCCATGCAGAAGATTGTGAATTAGAAGAAGAGCTTGCCAGATCCATATTTGCAAACTTCTGAATTAAGGGATTGTGGACAGTATGTTTGTAATCCAAAGGTTGATAATTTGCGAATGCTTCCATGACTTGAATAAAGGAAGGTGGGTAAATGTGGCTAATCAATGCATGGAGATTCTTTCGAGGACGAACGGTTTTATCAAACAACTCTTCATATGCTTGATCGAGATAAGAAAAGGTATGTTTCTCCATTGAATTGGACTTTTCGAATACTGAGATAGTAGGCATGTTTAAGGGATCAAAGAAGAGTTAATGCAAATATTCATCAATGAATGACGGTTGTGTTTCTAAAAATATAAAGCCCATGCACGTTCTAAAACGTGGATAAAAGACCTTGATCCACTAATATCACCAAGTATTGGGTATATTAGTGCGGAGGGTAATGTTTGCTACATATTTTGTATAAGCCAATTACAATTCAACGCGTGGCAGGATAAGGGCAATACATGAAGACTATTCAAGTTTTCAATCATGATCGAACAAGTGACAGTTGGTATTGGTTTTACGAGATCTGCGTAGTATTGGATCAACAAAGAGATATAAAGTGATGTGGCTTCAACGGTTACTCACATTCAAATTCAAAATCAGGAGGGAAGCCTAACTGCAAGTGATGGCATAGTGGGGCTAACTATAAGGCAACATGATCAGCGATCATGGAGAAACGATTCGATGGTTGGAAGTGCAGTTCGATGGTCATCCTTGAAAAGTATAAATAGCAGAGAAGGCCCTAGAAAAGATCCCCAGACTCAAATCCAAAAAACCAGTCTTATTCTACTTTATTTCCTTTCCAATTTTACATTTCCTGTTCTTTACATTTCTGTACTTTAAAATTCCTGCACTGCACTGCGTTCATAGGAGTAGTTTCAAGTAGATTGTTACTGTAAACCTTTACGAGGCTGAATTGGATCGTTGCAAGTTTTTTCTTTTAATGAAATGCTTCAATTGTTCTTCATTTGATTGTTATTTGCTTAATTCTTCTAAATCAAACCACCAGTAAAAGTCTTCTTCATTGAGCCTGAAAGAACTAAAATACAATCGTTTGATAATTGGTTGGCAATTAATTCTCTGTAAAGACTGATTGATCCTTACTGGCATGCTCATAATTACAATAATAACCTTTAAAAGCCAAAAAATCAACACAATTAAAAAGAAAAAGAATTAAAATAAAATTTAAGTGAACATTCAAGAATGAAAATATGTAATTAGGATTTTACTAATGACAATCATTATGTGGCGTTTTGCTTGAGATTTGTCCAATTCATGTGGATGAGGCATTTTGCGTAAATTTCAAAATTAGTTAAGATGCACGTAAGTTGATCCAAACATTCCATCATTTAAAAAAAAAAAAAAAGCATAACAAAATGTCAAAATATGAAATCTCGGGTGATTATTGGGTATTCTTGGAGTTCAGTCACGTGGTGTTTTATGATATTATGATTGATGAAAAAAATAGAATATTATAATTTTGTATCTAATAATTAAAAAATTAGCAATGATTGAGGGCACAATTTTTGTGGCTCAAATGGCTCAAAATTGCTAAAACGACGTCGTTTTGAGTACAAAACAACTTCAAAATTGCCAAAACGACGTCGTTTTGGCAATTTTGAGCCATTTGAGCCACAAAAATTGTGCAAACTACAGTTTGGGATGGCTAGTGCCTTGGAAACTCTATGTGGACAAGCTTATGGAGCTCAGCAATACCAAAAACTTGGGACTCAAACTCAGACAACTATTCTCTGTCTCATCATTGTTTGTATCCCTCTCTCTTTAATATAGATCTATATGGGAAAAATACTCATTCTCATAGGCCAAGACCCATTAATTTCACATGAAGCTGGTAAATTCACAACCTGGCTTATTCCATCCCTGTTTGCTTATGCTATTATTCAACCCCTCACCAGATACTTTCAAATGCAAAGTTTGACCATTCCCATGCTCATAAGCTCATGTACCACTGTTGTTTTTCACATACCTCTCTGCTGGGTTCTTGTGTTTAAGTCTGGATTGGATAACTTAGGAGGTGCATTGGAAATTGGCATTTCGAGCTGGTTGAATGTGATCTTCCTCATACTGTACATGAACTACTCTTCTGCTTGTGCAAAAACTAGGATCCTAGTTTCAATCGAGCTGTTTCGAGGAGTTGGAGAGTTCTTCAGCTTTGCTGTTCTTTCTGCTGTAATGATTTGGTAAATTTTTTTCTTAATTACTTGGAAGAATGTCTTTATGATATGTTTAGATTACAAATTTGGATAACGATTTAGAAAAGAATGGGAATTTGGAAGGGAAAAAAAAAAAGAAGAACTTTATGTTCCGTTCACATTTTGTCTTTCTCTTTCCAAAACCAGATATTATAATGTATAAGAGTTTTAGTAATCAAATTTTTTTTTTCCTAAAAATAAAAATTTTGCTGCAAAAAATATTAGTAGTGTTGAGGGATATAGTTCAGCCAGCTCAGGTTCAAGTAGTGCAGCAGCTCAGGTGCAAGTAGTGCATCCAGCTTAGGTGACTCTGGCTCAGATTGCAGTTCAAGAAGTTCATCTGTTTAGGAGTTAGTTACACAGTTGAGAAGACAGTTAGTTTGTTAGAAGATATTTTGTTCTAGATGACTAGTTGAGCTCCTTATTATTTTGTATATAAATATAGCTGATGTATTATCAAATGGGTAGTTGAATAAGAAAAGTATATTGGTTTCAGTTTTGTTTCATGGTATCAAAGCCTCTGAGCTCCAACGAACAACTAATCCATGGCATCACCATTATCATCCTTGCTTTTTTCAAATCTCACTCTGTTAATTTCTAATCTTTCATCCTTTGTTACTATCAAACTTGATGGTTCCAATGTCCTTGTTTGGAAGACTTAGCTCTCGAATATTCTTCGAGCCACAAATCTACTTGGTTATGTTGATGGATCGATTCCATGTCCAGCCTCTACAATCACAGATCCAGAGGGAGCTTCTGTTCCAAAATCAGAATTTTTTCAATGGACTTTGATTGATGCACACTTGCTCAGTTGTATCATTGTAACACTTACACCTTCAATCTATGCATCTGTACTTCAGTCTCATCATTGTTCTGAGGTCTGGAGTTCTCTCCACAAGAGGTATACAACTTTGTCTCGATCTCATATTCACCAATTGAAAAACAAATTAAGAAAACTGAGTCAATGGAAGAATATCTCTCCAAAATTAAGGACCTTGTCAGTCAATTAGCCCTAGCATCTATTAAAATTGAAGATGAAGATCTAGTCTTAGTGACTTTGAATGGTCTTCCTTCTGAGTTTGATTCATTTGCTACTGCCATTCGTGCTAGACCAGACAACATCACCATGGATGATCTTTGTGCTTCACTGTGTTCTGAAGCAATTTATTTAGATTCCAAGATAAACAAATCCACAAAATCAACTATAGCTTTCTCTACAGTCAAAGGATCTCCAACTCCAAATTCTTTTCACACTTCCTCTTCAAGATCTCAGAATTTTGGCTCCAATCGAGGTCGATCTTATTCTAGAGGAGGAAGAGGAGGCCGAACTAGAGGTTATGGTAGATTTACGCCATCTTGAGGTCGAGAAAGGTTCTCAAATCAAATTTGCCAAATTTGTGGAGGCTCCAGTCATTATGCACTGGAATGTTGGTATCGCATGGATCCACAATATCAGGCTTCACATCAAAATTTTCAGACTCACAATCAACAGCAGCAACCACGAGCCTTTGTTACTTCCTCAGCAACCTCCTTATCTCCTTCCTCAATAGGTTCTTCCTTAGTTCAAAGTCCTTGGTACTTGGATTCTGCAGCATCAGATCATGTGACTAATGATCTCAGTCATCTAAATAGCTATCAACCTTATCAAGGCTCAAAACAGATTACCATAGGAGATGAAAACTCCATTCCTATGCAACACACTGGTAAAGGCCTTCTTCTAACTCCACATCACTTGGTCCCTTGTTTGGAAACAGGCTATGTTGGAAAAATTTCAGGCTCTTCAAGCCTAAAAAACTTGGTCCATTGTTTCTCTTCCTCCTAAGAAGCATGCCATAGGTTGTAAATGGGTGTTTAAGGTCAAGAGGAATTCTAATGGGACTATTGCTAGACATAAGGCCAGATTAGTGGCCAAAGGCTATCTCCAACAAGAGGGCATTGACTTTCAGGAAACTTTTAGTCCTGTTGCTAAGTTGCCCACCATTCGCATTCTTTTATGTCTTGCTCTTCATCACCATTGGCCTATAAAGCAACTAGATATCTCTAATGCATTTCTTCATAGCCTTCTTGAGGAAGAGGTTTATATGTTGTAGCCACCTAGATTTGAACATTCTTCTCACCCACAGCAGGTTTGTAAGCTACACAAAGCTTTATATGGTCTTAAACAAGCACCAAGAACATGGTACTCTACCTTTTCAGCCTTTTTGCTCTCTCAAGGGTTCAAAAATAGCAAATGTGACTCTTCTCTGTTCCACTTCTTGTTATAAATACTATGTTCTTTTTATGGATGACTTTAGTAGGTTTACTTGGTTATATCCATTGGTTTATAAGAGTGAATTTTATGCCAAGTTTCTTGAATTCAAAACTTATGCGGAAAAACAATTTGATACTCACCTTAAGATCCTTCGAATAGATGGTGGTATAGAATTCTTTAATAACAAAATGAAAGCTCTCACTGTGTCACAATGAAGTGTTCATCAACATTCTTGTCCTCATACACCATCTCAAAATGGTGTAGCTGAACGAAAACACAGACATCTCACTGAAATTGCTATTGCTCTTCTTCATCACTCTTCTATTCTTGTGCATTATTGGTTTGATGCTATTGCTTGTGCCACTTACCTCATTAATAGACTGCCTTCTTCTAAATTGGCTTATAAGACACCTTTTGAAACTTTGTGTAGACGTCCCCGAACGTCCCGGGAGGAAATCCCCCCCGTTTTGTTCATTGGGCTCACTATAGTTCAGGTCCTGTATCTAATCTCGCAGAGTGCAATGCAAGACCGATGAATCATCAAAGAGTCCAAATCCGGCAAATCATTTTTGAAAACAAATTTTTTTTAAAGAAGTGCCAAACATGGACTGCTTTGCCAGATACAGAGTCGTCACCTAAATATTTTATTTTGGAAAATTTAGGAAACTCTGACTCATTGCCTAAGGCCACGTGTCCGTCATCACCAAAGTTGCCTCGGATCGGAAACTTGGGTACGATTGGGGAAGGTCACTTCGTGAGCACCCCCGTTCGCCCAATCAAAGATCGGTCTCTACTAACCATGATATCTAGTTTTGAAAACATTATGCGTTCTTATTCCGGTTATTAGCCTAGATTTACTACGTGATGCGCACAGTATACAAGTATAGACTGGATCACCTGAATTGGAACAAAACATCTCATGTTTGTTTATTTGAAAATGGTTTGCTACTCGCAAGTAGGCTAAAATGTGGATTTGCCACCCTCGGGTGGGCTTAGAAAACAGGATTTTGCCACTATCAAGTGGGCTTAAAACTCACAATTGATGAATTGCTCCAATCCAAATAACCCAACCTTCACCCACAGGCATTCAGGCAGGTATATCATATAAGCACTTAGCCTCATGGTAAGCATGCTATCATGGCAGTCACTCACACACATGCAAGGATGCTAAAGCATAAAAGCTTACCTAGTACTTCAAGCCAAAACAGAAGCTGATTAGAAATCATGTATGATCCTAAATATACAGAAATGCCTTATGCAACACATGCAAAATGCAACTAAGATAGGCTCGGCTATTCTAAGATGGCATATGAAATGCTACAGCTAACACATATTCAATTTGGAATTTGAAATACAAATGCAATTAGTATGGTGCGCCGAGCCCGGTGCATGCAAGACAGATGAATGAATGCAAACATGCTATCATACTGTATGCTAATTGAAACATGCCCTAATCTAACCATCATAAGCTGGTAAATAAAAGGGAGAAAGACGTGAGGTTGGAAGACATACATCACACTCACGCACACTTATTACAACATTGCCCTCGCTCAGAGGGTCTGAAAGAATAACACAGTCCGAATGAATAATACAGTTCGAATAAATAGTACAGTCCGAATAAATACAAAATCCTAATTAATTAACAAATTAATCTAGGAAAGTAGGTAAATTAGTACGCAAATCCATGAACTGCCTCAGCTCTGTTCCAAATGATGAATGATGCATGCTTGAGTTGCCTTGCGGAGAAATCCATTACGATGCCCCGGCTTGCCTCTGTTTGCAATTGTTTTTGAAATATTGTGCAACGCTCCAAAAGGCCGCTGATTTCTGATTTACTGTAACAGAGAGCAACAAAGGGGCATGGCAAAGTATTTCACATATGTATGCATGACTACTCTTCAGGGAGTGTAGTCCTCGATCCTCGTGCCACCAATCACGCATATCGATGCATGATGGCCGAGGAGTTGAATTGCACGACTCAATATGAAATGAATGCACATGAAAACACAACAAGACCTAAACTCCATCATGGGTAATCTGGAGTGTCGGTGACAGGGAATTGAGACACGTTCCGTCACTCGGAGTACGAAACGTACTTCGTTTCCCGTGCTCAGACTAACTCCTATCCCAAACAAAATGTAAATGAGATGGCATACACAATGCGACTAACATACAACCTAGCATACGCAATACCATGATATGACAGATACAATGCTTAATGTAACATGGCATACACAAAGCTCTAACAGGCAACCTAGGATACGCAATGCTATGAAACGAAAAGGCATACACAATGCATAATGGACTTACACCAACATGAGTGGATCTCAGCCACACTCACATCAGTAGCCGTAAGATGAAAATGAGATGGCCGAAATGCGTGCACACATGCACGCAAACCGATGACTGAACCTAAGGCATAAAATACCACTCTACCAAAGCATGGAAAGGATGAAGCATGGCATTCAAACATGTAATTTTCAGCACCGAAACATAATTCTAAATGGTCCCGAATCATGCAAACATGGCATCCGATGCATGGAGTAAGCCCCAAAACTTAAAACTAGGCACATGTATTGACTTGTAGCTATACAAAGCATGCATTATTTGACCATGAAGCACAAAGACAAAGCCAAGGCAGTCCAAAATATGAACATTTCTAGTTCAAAGCATGACCAAAAGATGCTAGCATGATGGACTAAAATAGCATGC